TTTTAGTGGTTAATGCTGAAGGATCAGAGAAGCTGAGCAGTCAGCCACTAGTGCTTACCTCTATGAAATCCTCAGACCGAAAAGGGGACTGTCTCCACTGACTTTATATTCCTCTCTCTGCCCAGCCACATCACTTCCTGTTTCCAACTCCCTCGTGGCTGGCATTAAAGGCATGAGATCCCAAGTACTGGCATCAAAGGTGTGGCCACCACTGCCTAGCCTCTATGGGTAACTAGTGGTTAGCTCCACCCACTGATCTTCAAGCAAGCTTTATTTGTTAGAGCACAAAGTATCACCACACCATGGATATATTTTATCTTCGTCAGTTTTTTACCTGATAGTTTTAGCTTACACTGTCACTGCCTCATAAATCAGTTATGCCCATGATGGATGAAAAATAAGGATTGTTGCTATCATCTCTTCTGCATCTTTGGTTGGTATTCTCCTGTAAGCAAGAGTGTTTACATTTTTGTATTTGTTGCTTATTTTGGGCCCTAATGGCCCAATGTATAAGAAGCCTGTGTGCAAGCATAAGGATCTAAGTTTGAGTCCCCAGAGCCTCCTTAAAAAGCTGGGCCCAGTGGCACACACCTGGCACTGGGGGTGGGAGGAGGAGACAGGTGAGAGCCTGGAGCTTAGTGGCCAGTGGAGTAGCAGGACTGGTGAACCCTAGATTCAGTAAGATACCCTGCCTCAACATTATAAAGGTGGAGGGTGACTGAGGAAAGACAACTGTGATGGTTTGGGAAAAAATGCCCCCCAGAGGGAGTGGCACTGTTAGGAGGTGTGGCCTTGTTGGAGTAGGCGGGGCTTGTTGGAGGAAGTGTGTCTGCGTGGAGAGGGGCATTAAGGTCTCATATATGCTCAAGCGATGCCCATGAGACAGACCACTTCCTGTTGCCTGCAAGATGCAGAACTCTCAGCTGCTTCTCCTGCACCATGTCTATCTTCACGCCACGATGTCCGGCCATGATGCCACCATGTCCCACCATGATGATAATGGACTGAGCCTCTGCAACTGTAAACCCCTCAATTAAATGTTTTCCTTCATAAGAGTTTCCGTGGTCCTGGTGTCTCTTCACAGCGATAGGAACCCTAAGACACTCCCTAAGGCCAACCTGTTTCCAGGTGCATATGCACACATGCACATTTAACAAGTACACTCCCCACTCAATAACATGCTTTTAAAAAGTATCATCTAGGAGTGGTGGTTTCTACCTTTAATTCTAGAAAACTGAGGCAGGTGGTTTGCTGCTAGTTTGAGGCCAACCTGTACAACGTAGTGAGTTCAAGGCCAGCATAGGCTACATAGTGAGATTTTTTTATGGCTCAGAGGTTAACAGCACAGGCTACCCTTCCAGAGGTCTTGCGTTCAATTCCCAGCAACCACATGGTGGATCACAACCATCTATAATGTGAGATCTGGTGCCCTCTACTAGCGTGCAGTCATACATGCAGGCAGAACACTGTGCACAGGATAAATAAATTTAAAAAGTATAAATGATGCAACATCCCTTTACTTCTTGGCAGACTTTTATTTCTCCTTTAAAACTACCTAGGTTGCCTTTTAATCTCCTGTCCAGCTTCTAAAACCTGCAGTAGCAGGGATTTGATTAGTTGAGTCCAGTTCCTTTTACATTACTTACTGGAAGCATACACAAGTTATGAATAAAAGTGGAATTCCCTTTGGCTGGGTTTCGAGCCCACCTGGTAAGTTCTTTTGGACTTTTAAGCAACCAGAAAATTGAATTAGAGAACAGACCAGCCACATTGTGTCTGCTCGGGAGCAAACATCTGTTTTCATGGGTGCCAGGGGAAACCCAAGCAATGACTTGTTTTTCTCTTAGAGCTGTGTGCAGCCTGCAACCTTCCTCTTGCTCACCAGTGGAAATGACATGGTCTTCCAACACCCACTGTCAACTGGACGGGAATATAAGGTTTGTTTCATTTTCAGGCAGGCTCTCACTGAAGCCCAGGTTGGCCTCCAACGAATGGAAATCCTATGTTAGCATCCCAAGCGCTGGGCAGTCAGTAGTGTGCCAGCATGCCCAGCAGGAATTTGTTTTGATCATGAAATAGAGGAGGAGAAAAGCAGTTTCAGATGGCAGGCTGCCTCAGGGCATGCTGCCGTGCAGCTCGTGAGATTCGTTGCCTTAGTTCAAGTCTCCTGTGGCTGTGAGGGTAACACACGCAGAGAAGAATCTCCACATGACTGGCTTGGTTCACCAGGGACCTTGCTTATGGATGTTATCCATGATAGGCAGTGCAGTCGTGTAGCCTAGGACAGAGGTTTAAGACGTTGTACGCCCGGGAGAGGCACAGGTGGGTTACACATGCGTGAGTCAGTGGGAACTGACCAGCCCTGCCTCTCATTCTGTTCTGTTCTACTCTGACATGAAGATGCTGAGATGGTGTGCATAGGTTTAGACAGAACGGTCAGCACTGTGTAAACATGGGTAGGAAGGAAGTTTGTGAAGATACTGTAGGACTCTATCCCTATCGTCTCCACTTCCCGAGGTTCAGTTTTCACATCTTGATCTCACTCATCCCCAGCTTTCCCTTCAGCCCGTCTCTAATGTACACACGGACTGTACTCGAACCCACCCTGGGCACACACACACACACACTCTCACCAGTCTCAGATAATATCCACAGGTGGTCTCTCCTCCTCCAGCTGCTTCTGGTAAAGACAGATCGGAGTGAAATGCAGGCTCAGTAGGGAGAAACCTGTGGGTCAAACACATGACTCTCGATTTCTTTTTTCTGTTCTATTATTGGCTCACGTTTGTCCTTTAAGTCACCTTCTCACTGGTCTTGGCTTTACAGTTATAATCACAGTAAGAGAAAAGGGATACCTTGAAGTATTTTTGGCTCAGCTGTGTGCTTGCTTGGAATGCGGCCCAAACCCTTCATCCCATTGTTGCAGTGAAGCCACCCAGAAAGAGAATTAAAACTAATGCCATTGTTCCAACCTGTCAGCATCATGCCTTTGTTTCGTTGTATTTCATTGCATTTTGCTTTTGGATTATGCTTAATTGGGAGAGAACAATGTTTCTAGCCCTTTGGAACATCCCACTTAAAGTACTGTTACAATCTTTTAAAAAGGAAAGTGGTCTCTGTAAATGCCTCCCCTTCCCCTCCCACCAATATCTTCTGAGTGCGAACAGCGTAGTTTAACTGTTTTGACAACTACACGAACTTGAGTAATTATCATCTTAATTTTTGCAGCTGTGAACAGAGAGCATAGCGTTCTCCTTCCTTCCTAGGTCATGTTCAGATGGGCACGGCAATAAACTAATACATGAGAAAGAAATTCTTCCTTGGGTTTCAGTAGTCTTCATTGACATAAAGTCTTTCCTAACCCCGAATTATGTGATTATAAGTAATGACATGTTCTTACTCCTTCCAAACACCATATTTTAAAACAACTGATAAAATCTAAAGACCTCTTTAATGTTACAGTAAGCTGTAGTTTCTAATGACTTCCAGACAATCTGTCTTCTCACATTCAAAGCTAGGCATATCCTTGGGTCGTGTTAGAGTTAATTTTTTATTGCTTTTCTATGATGTGTATGTGTGGGTTTGTATGCATGTGTGTGTGTGTATGTACAAAGGAGTGCAGGTGGCAGAGGCTTTACATTCCCTGGAACTGGAGTTATAGGTAGTTGTGGATTACCTGATGTGGGTACAGGGAGGTGAGCTCCAATCCTCTGGAATACCAAGAAGAGCTTTTGACCACTGAGCTGTCCCTGTGGGCCCAGATTTAATTTTTCTCGGTGACACTATTGGATGAACACAGTTGAGTAGACATCTAGCAGCATTGGGTGAGCCAAATAACTCCAAGCATCTGGAGCCTCCTTTGGGTTAATAGTCCATTTAAAGAATAGAGAAATTCCATAAGGCCTTTCTCAACAACGAGACAACTCCACCCACAATGAGATGGAAGATCCCAAGTCAAAACATCACCACGTCCTGGGTCATGGCTCAAAACCCCCAGAAAGAGCACCACTGTGCACCATTTACGTTTTCATTTTCAGATTAACTTCCTCATCCAAAACTATGACTGCCCAATCTCATTTACCTTCCAAAAGTTTAAAAGCATTGTTATATTAAAAACAACATAAGACAAGCTCCAAAACCAACAGTGTAGCTTAGAAGTCTATAGATCTTAGCTCTGTGGCTACAGATAAGATCTTATCAGTTACAGCAGCCCAGCACCCCATTCATGCTTCTGATGCATCACTCAGGGCCTGGGCATCCTCCTGCTGTCTCCCATCACAAACTGCTCAATAGGGTGTTGCCATGGTGTGCACAGCTGCATAGGTATCGCCAGGGGAGTCACCCGGGGGGTCCTGTCTGATACACTGGATTCCTCACAGGGCTGAAGTGGCATGTCTCCACTTGCTGGGACACTCTATTAGAGCACTCTCTAAACAAAGGCACATGCGCCTCAGCCCTTTTTAGAGACTTGGAGAAATGGTTTGGTGTGAGGGTTCCACACTCTTGTTTTCCTCTGCTCTCTTAATTGGACCTTATGGAGGTCATCCAAGTCAGGAAGGGAGGCGGAAAGGTCCAGGTGGAGAGTTGACAAGCCTTCGTATTAAGAGTACCACTCTCCTGACAACCAAGCCGTCATCCGTCCTCGCAGTGGGTCTCTTCCTCCTGGGTAAATTGCCCCGGGACTGGAGACTCTCCAGCACTTTGTGTTTCAGGCCTTCCTCTAGCTCACGGAAACACCCGGTTTCCTCAGTGGTGTGTCCCAAACACAGTACAACACGCTGAACCAGGGCTTCCTTTTGTTCTGGTGGAAAGCCCTCCCAGACCATTTTTAGGAGGTGGATGCAATGTATTGGGACAACATGAAGAGAGCAGGAATGAGCAGCGAGGACAGGTGGAGAGGCTGGAACGTTCCAGAAAGGCACCCGGCATGGTGTCACTTCACTCAGGCGCTGATTTTCTGTTTTTTTTTGTTTCTCTCCTCTGTGGAATGACACCCGTAGTGGGTGGCCCACCACGGGTACTCTGAGACAGATGCGGACCCCCACAATGCCTGCCCAGGCTGCTGTTTCCCCCACATTGGGTGGCTGCTGGTTCACAAACATCCAGATGCCATTGAGAAGGGCAAGAAGTTCCATGTTGGTGATCTGCTTGCCGACCCTATGGTCCACTTCCAGAGAATGCAAGTGAGTGGATATCAAAGGGACCAGCAGAGTAGACAGGGTGATAAGAGATACTTCCTCACAGTCCCCCAAACTGGGCCTTATTCTCAGAATCTGTCTGTTTACTAAGTCCTGTCCATGGACGTGTTGGTTGGAAATTTCAAGTTTCACATGTAGTGGGTTTCCATTGAGCCCGGTATCATTTCCTTGCATGACTGAGTTAATGAATTTTGTTTCTCTTCTGCCTGAGCTTCCTCCAGGTGGAGGTGGTGGGTAGTGGGGTCTACCCTTAAATAGTGACACACTCAGCCCCCGCTCGGCTGATTCTCTCCAGGTGTGTTGCTCTGCTCTCTCAAAGCCCTCCCTCTGTCCTATGGACATGTGGGTACCAGTAGGTTACTATGTACAGAAAATCAGGTGTAGCGCCAGCGCTACCAACTGTTCCACGAATCAGGCAAAGGCCTAGAGATCGGAAGAAGAGACAAAACAGTGGGTCATTCGGAATGCCTAATGCCGTTTATTGAGGGGAAGGAATGGGCTTATATATCGACTCTCAGCACAGTGGAAAATAATAGGATTTTCAGGCTTAGCTCCTCCCCACGAGGTGTGTGTTAGCAAAACAGGAGAGTACCAATGACAACTCCAGGAGGCAAGAAAATAGGAGAGTACCAAGAACAACTCTGGGGCAAGATGTTCCAGCCAACAGCTTCAGGCTTGCTCAAGGTGCCACAGGAGTCCATGCAGGGCCTCACAGGTTCCCCTTTCTTTTAATATAAACTAACACCAGTCTTAGGCAGCAGAGGACATCAGCATAATTCCTTATCCGTCATTGGCGAGGTCACACAAGCCCATAACCCTCCTGTCTTAGGTTGGATATTTGTTCCCTTCTGCCTTACTTGTCTCTGGTGATTAGTTCGCCTAAGTTCAGCCATACTTGGACAGAGGCATTCTCTTGAACCAAAGACAGTAGAATCTGTCTTGTTTGAAAGTTGGCCTGGGCCTGTCTAATGCTGTGGTGGCATAGGCAGATCAGGCAGATAGCACCAAGGGCAAGGAAGGGCTATGAGCCCCAGTGAGATAGAGCTTGCCCATTCTCTAATTAATCTGCGGGCAAGTTGAAGTCCTTGTGAAAGGTCTTCTCTACTGGCAGGTGGTACTCAGGTTTTATTGATGTTAATGATCTGCATGGCTAAAGCATGTGTATAATTTAAAAACAGATCATTGCAGGACCCTTGGAGAAAACTTACTACAACTGATGCATTCTTAGCTTTAGCGGGTGTAACACAGATACGTGTGAAAGAGAGAGAACAAGAATATGAGCTTTCCACAATAAATCCAATTGTTCCTATAGGAGGCTAGTTTGTAGATTTAGTTTTAAAATGCCAATTTGTACTAGATTATCGAGTGTGTTTTGGGTGGCTAAGGCTTCAGCCAAGTCACCTGATAGGTGATCCACTGTGCTTGCAGTATTTACAGATTGGGAGAGGGCTATCCTAGAAACTGTTGCTTCAGTGGCGGAGGTGGCACTGGCAGTTGTGATTCCGAAATCTCCTTTCCTCTCTGCTGCACACGTTGGTCATCTGTAGAGCTCTCCGGCATAGGTGCCACCCCAGGTACATGGCCCATGACAGCTGTTACTTTCAGCAGCTAACCAGTCGGCAGACCTGCTGAGAACAATTGAGACTTCCTCCAAACTTAGCATTAGTTACAACAAAAAAGAAGGGAGCCAGAGCACAAGTGCCTGAAATGAAGGTGAAATTCTTATCCTTTGGACCAAAGTGTAATTTTATAGCTGCTTTACCCAAGCCATAATTAATGGTCAGGAAAAGGGTCACATAGGGCTACTCAAACCCACAGGCATCAGAATGGGTGGATCCTGGATGAAGGCCCATCGGACCTTCTCCGATGGCTGCTACAATTACGGTCACTCCCTATATGGTGAACCAGACACTCAGGCATGCAAACAGGGTTATCTGCAATTTGTGGAAAGACACAAACCAACCGTTGGGCCCACACTAGAACTGGGTCAGGGTCACACCCTTGTCCTGCAGTGACATTCTTCCACATAACTGAGCTGTAGTCAGATGACCAAAGGTGCCAATGCCTGTCAGCCACAATCGAGCAGCACCATCAATAGTTAAAAAATTTAAAATATAAAGGACAAGAGAAAGGTGATTGTGAGGAGACCCTATAAATTCCCCCCTTTTTGTTTTATGAAGATAGGCTTTAATTGTGTGATGTGCACGCTCCACCATGGCCTGATCTTGAGGATTATAAGGGATGCCCATCTTATGCGAGATTAAAAAAAAGTTTTGCAAAAAGAGTTGAAACCCTGACTAGTATAAGCAGGGCCATTATCAGTTTTTAATTGTCTGGGTATCCCCATATAAACAAAGGCTTGTAAACAATGGCTCTTAACATCCTTAAGCCTTTCTCCAGTATGAGCAGAGGCAAATATGAGATGAGAATGGGTATTCACAGATACATGAACAAATTGTAGTTGACCAAAGGAAGGAACATGGGTAACATCCTTCTGACAGATATCATTAGGTGTGACACCACGGGGGTTAACTCCAAGGTGTGGAACAGGTAAGAACTCTGCACATAGGGGATAATTCTTAACTATATCAATAGTTTTGTCTCTAGTAATTTTAAAATGGAATTTAAGAGACCTGCATTAAGATGGAAGGTTGTATGAGCTTTGCAGGCTGCTTCATAACCAGACTCTCTCATAATCATGATGGCACTGCTTTAGTATTAAAATCAGCAATGGCATTTCCTTCACTCAAAGGGTTGGGCAAATCAGAATGCACTCTGAGATGTCCTACAAAAATTGGATGAGAGCACCTCCATAGTAGGCTTTGTATGGCTAGTAAGTGTTCCTGTACACGAGAGATCAGAGCTATATAGGCACCAGTTTCCAAGGGGGTCAATATATGATACACATATTTACTATCAGTTAAACAGATCATCAGAAAAATGTTGAAGGGCTAATTTGTACTGCAGCTAGTTCCACAAATTGTGCACATTTCACTAGTAGTATAGAGCATTTAATAACGGGAAAGGGAACAACAAATGCATAACCATTTAAGGAGCCATCTGTAACTACATTGCGGGCCCCCTTCAAAATATTTTTTGAAATAATTTTGGGGAAACACACAGGATGATTTTTTAAAATTAGATAATTTATTGGAAGGAAAATGACTATCAAAGTGGCAGGGTTTGGAACACATGAAATGTGCCCAATCCTCATCGAACTGTTGAAGCTATTGTATCTGTTGTTGAGTATAGGGAGTGACAATTATATCCAGAATCTTGCCAAAAACTTGAAGACTCATTTTGTATGCCTTTTGAATAATAGAAAGCATTTCCTGGGGATAAGATCTAACTGTCTTTCCTGGGGATGCATGTTCATGCACCCATAATATAAGGCCAATTTGCCAAAACACCCTGGTAGGAGAATATGCTGAAACAAAAACTAATAACATCAAGTATGAGATAGTCAATATAATTTAAGTGTGCAGATTGGAGGCATTCTTGCACAAGTTGTATGCATTCATGCTCAGCAGGTGTTAAGGTTCAGAGAGAAGTGGGATCAGAATCTCCTTGTAAAATATCAAATAAGGGTCTAAGCTGTCCAGTGGTTAGGGCCAAACTAGATCAAACCCAGTTTATATCTCCCAATAATATTTGAAAATCATTGAGGGTAGTCAGTCTACCCAGCCTTAAAGTAATCTTTTGAGGAGGGATACCAGAATATAACAATTGATAATCCAGGTATTGATAGAGAAATTCTTGCTGTACCTTTTCTGGGTCTATTCTTAAGCCAGCTAGTTGAAGATTATGTTGCAATTCCCCTAAAGCCTCATTTACTTCCTTAGGATCTGGGCCAGCTAAAAAAATATCATCCATATAATGTATAAAATACAAGGATTGAAATTTCTCCTTAATGGGGGCAATGACCAAAGATACATAAACTTGACAAATAGTGGGACTATTGGCCATTCCTTGAGGCAACACCACCCATTGATATCTCTTATAGGACTCTTTTAAATTAACAGAAGGAATGCTAAATGCAAATTGCTCACTATCCTGAGGATGCAAGGGAATGGTAAAGAAGCAATCTTTTAGGTCTATAATAAATGATAGCCCCAAGGAATACCTACGGGGAAGGTAAGCCAGGTTGTGTGGCTCCCATAGTTTGCATACAATCATTAACAGCTCAGAGATCTTGTAGGAGTCTCCATTTTCCAGATTTTTTTTCTTTATAACAAAAATTGTAGTATTCCATGGGGAAGTGGAAGGAACAATATGTCCTGCCTCTAATTGTTCCTTTACAAGTTGATGTGCAGCCTGTAATTTCTCAATAGATAAGGGCCATTGCTCCACCCAGACTGGGGTATCAGTTTTCCAGGTGATAGGAATGGGAACAGGCTGCATAGCAATAGCCCCTAGGGAAAATTTCCCAACCCAGAGCAATCTCCGGCTCTTTTGATAATTACATTTTTGGGTGCAACAGATTGAGGGTCACTTTAGAGGAACTTACCCAGTCCTCTTCCTTGTACATAACCTTGGTCCGCCAGCATATTTTTAACAGGCTCAGTAGTAAGGACCGTTCCCATGGCCTGAAGCACATCTCTTCCCCAAAGATTAATAGGGATATGACTTAACACAAAAGGTTGAAAAACAACCTGTATGTCCTTCATCATCTGACCATTTAAGAAACTGAGTGCTACATTCTGGAGCCACAGCAGTTCCCACTCCTTGTTAATGAGTGGAGGCCGGCTGAAGAGGCCATGCTTGTGGCCAATGTTTTTTGCTATTACTGAGGAGTCTGCTTCAGTGTTTACAAGTCCAGAAAATCATCTACCTTGTATGATAAGGGTGAACATGGGACGCTGTTCAAGACTTGATACCCAAAAAGCACCCATGGAGCCTGTGGACCCAAAACCAGCAGATCCCCTGGTGTCCTTTAAAAAGGGATTGCTGGTTTTGAATGAACATAAGGAGAAGAACCAGTTGTGCTAT